GGAGGCCATGCCTCTGAGACGAAGCAGAGAGTGGTGACCAAGGCGGTGGTACCAGAGGAGAGTCTCGTGAGACAGGAGACGACATGAGTAGGGGGCAGACTCAGGACCAGACTAGGACGCTGCAGCAAACACCTGACCCGACGTAGCTACCCTACCAGACTCAGCAACTGGAGGAGACGCGGTGGTCAGTGTGTACAGGCTCGACCCCGGGTGTCGTGTAAACGTAGCCAAGTGTCGGCCTGTGCGAGCCTCTGTGCAGTGCGTCACTCGCTGACGCGCAGGAGTCAACTGGTGCACTCCCCCATCCTGTAGGCAGCACCACTCACCAAGTTCGTAGAGAACGAGGGGAGGTAGAGACCACACAGGGTGCCAGAGGGAGCCGCCGGACACGGGAGGACAGTGGAGAAGTGAGACAGGACAGGACCCCCAGAGGGGTCAGCCAGAGACACCGCCACCGGTCTACTAAGCGGCGTGAGTGTGGTGCGGTCCCGAAAGAAGGAGCGAGGCCCCAGAGTCAAGGGTGAAGGTGAGGGAGGCCGAAGCCGACGCAGTACCTGAGAGCGCAGACTCACCAGTACCTGAGGACGCAGACGCACTAGCACCTAGAGTAGCAGCGTCGCAAGCACCTAGGGCAGCAGCCTCACCATTACCTAGAGCAGCAGTCTCAATGCCCGGATCGGGCGGGAAACACCGGTAACAGTCACCCTCATCACTGGTAATAGTACAGCATACATGGCAAAAAGAATAGCATCAAAATCAAGATCACAGATGGCAACTCCCTCCCTAGACAGCTCGCCCCAGCGAGGGATCTCTGTGGCCTCAGGGAACTAGTGACGCCACGCGTCCGTCAGGCGGCCAAAGCAGCGTTGGGTGGGGTGGGACCCCCACAGTCCTCACCCGCACGGTTACCGGTGCGCAGGACGTAGGTGCACGGACCAAAACCCCCACCCCGCTGGCGTGCAGTGTACCACTGACGGAGCTGCTGAGGGGACAAGGTCTCACGACCGCGCTGCTGCTGCTGGCGCAGACCACCACCAGAGCCACTCCTCTGCGACGACCCGCGACCAGCTCCACCGCCACCTCCGCCGCCTCCGCCGCCTCCGCCGCCTCCGCCGCCTCCGCCACCACTGCCGCCTCCGCCACCACCGCCGCCTCCGCTACCACCGCCGCCGCCGCCGCCTCCGCCTCCACTGCTGCCACCGGTACCCCCACCTCCTCCACCACTCCCACTCCCTCCGCCGCCTCCACCGCCACCTCTACCGCCCCCTCCAGCTCCTCCAGCGCCCTTGTCCCCCTTGCCCTTGCCTGTGCGGCGCTTCCCCGAAGGGGCAGACGCAGCACCGACCGACTCAAAACCAACAAGGTCAGCCGCAGCAGCAGAAGCAAGAGAGGGCAAGAGGGGGGAGGGAGAACACCCCTCAAAGACAGGGGTGCGGGGGTCACCACGAGAGGCTCCTACAGTGACTATGCTCTTCTCCGCCGCTAAGAGGGCCTTCTCGAGAAGGTCAATGGTGAGAGTGGTGGGGCACACTGTGAGGAAGTGGTCCTTGACTATGAAGTAGAGGGTGATGTACATGGGGGGGGGGGGGTCTTGGCGCAGAACTCAGCAGGAAGCGCAGCGCGGTAGCGAGTGTCACTAGTGCGGAGGTGCGTAATGAGGTCAGCGACTGTGGGAAAGGTAGCAAGGTCAGGAAAGAGGTACGGCAACATGAGAAGGCTCAGTGCAGCAGTGGCAGGGGAGGAGTAGCGTGCAACTACAGCGTCGTACAAGGTCTGAGCACTCTCGGAGGTAGGGAGGTGGCGACGCACAGCAAGACGTGCAGCAACGTCGTGCGTGGCCCACTGGGAGCGAACAGTGGCGTCAGCATCAGCAGCAGGGGCAGGGGAAGCGCCAGAGGTGAGGTCAAAGAGAGAGAGGCCGACTGCCCTATCGCACTGTAAGAACAGCTGCAGGTCATCTACCCAGACCTCAAAGTCAATGGCCCGACCCTCAGCGTCAAAAGCGAGGACACTAGGGGTAGCCATGACAACAGTGGACTAGCAGTGCAAACAGTAGGGTGAGGGCAGTGCAGTGAAAGAGGCGCTGTGCTTACCGGACGGGGCATCTCGGGCGGCTCGGCAGCAGGGCCGCTCGGCGGCTCGGCGGCTCGGCTACTGGGCGGCTCGGCTGCAGTGCGGCTCGGCGGCCTGGCAGCTCGACTGTACGGCGGCTCGGTTGCTGGGCGACTCGGCTGCAGGGCGGCTCGGCTGCTCGGCTGCTGGGCGACTCGGCGGCTCGGCTGTCTGGCTGCTCGGTTGCCTGGTCGGCTCGGCGGTGCTGCTGCAGGGTGGCGCGACGGTCGGCTGCTCGGCTGGGTGAGGCGGCTCGGGCAGCTCGGGTGGCGGGCGGCGCTGCAGCAGGGGACGGGGCCGCAGGTCCGGACGGCCGGGCCGGAAGTGAGAGCGGCGGGGCCGCCGGTGAGAGCGGCGGGGCCGCAGGTGAGAGCGGTGGGGCCGCAGTTGAGGGCGGCGGGGCCGCAGGTGAGAGCGGCGGAGCCGCAGGTGAGAGCAGCGGGGCCGCAGTTGAGGGCGGCGGGGCCGCAGGTAAGGGCGACGGGCCGCAGTTGAGGGCGGCAAGGCCGCAGGTAAGGGCGGCGGGGCCGCAGGTGAGAGCGGCGGGGCCGCCGGTAAGGGCGACGGGCCGCAGGAAGGGCGGCGGGCCGCAGGTGAGGGCGGCGGGGCCGCTTAACGGGACGGCGGGGCCGTGAGCAGGGCGGCGACGGGCCGTTATAAGGGCTGCGTCGGGCTGCTGCAAGGGCGGCGACGGGGCCGCTGGTGAAAGGGCGGCAGATCGGGGTCGCAAGGGCGGCTGATCGGGGCCGCGGGAGGTCGCTAGGGCGGCGTGACACAGCCGTTAGGGTGGCGTGACGCGACCGTAAGGGCGGCGCGACGGGCCGCTAAGGGCGACGCAACGGGTCGCTAAGGGTGACGCGACGGGGCCCCTAAGGAGGGCGCGACCCTAAGCGCGCTTCGGGCAGGGGCAGGACGCGCCTCGGGCAGAAAAAAAAAAAAGGATTGGTGGGCCCTAGGAACAGTTCCCACGAGGGAACCTGCTCGATACCATGAGGAAAAGAGAACGAGAATGAATGAACTATGAATGAAGTGGGTACAAGTACTAACCCTAATTGGGTTGTACCCCCTATGGGATACCCCACTACAGCCTACACAAAAGCATAAGCTATAATGTTCCGACACAAGCAACATTAGCAATCGGCACCTGCGCAGTCACACAACAGCAACAACAACGGAGCAACACCCATGAGTCTCGACGGCTAATCATATGCACGAGGAAATCAACAACAGCAGCCTACCTTTGCTCCGTACGAGCGCGGGTCCATCAGCTTTATGCCACACCCACAGCCTTAACCTGGACAAGAAAAATCACTGGACGCATTACAAGTTCAGTCGCAGTTCGCACTCGTTCTGAAGATGCAAACGTCAAGACCCTTCGATGGAAAGGACTTCTTCACCTGATCGTTCAAGTTCGAGCTGATGATGGAAGGCGCGCAGATACTCGGGTTCTTCGACGGGTCTCTGCCATACCCAACAAACGGCACACAGTACGAGAAGCAGCAGTACACTTATCAGTCAATGATGGCGTACACGATCCTACTGAGGAATATCACCCCGACTCAACAACAGAACATAAGGTCTTACCGAGGTTACGGCAACTCCGCGGAGCTCGCGTACAACCACCTGAAGAGCCTGTATCAAGCAGCAGACAGCGTAAGCCGAAGTCGGTTAATGGCGCAACTGACAACGGTTGAAATGAAACCAGGGGAGAAAGGAATGGCGTATATCAGTCGATGTCGTGAGTTGCGCGACAAGCTTCTTCGATGCGGAGGGTCGATCTCTGAAGACGCCTTCGTGATAGTCATCATCGGCGGCCTCGGTCCTCAATGGCGCGCCACAAAGGCCATTCTCCGAGCTCACGGAAGAATCTCCGAAGCAGCGCTCTACACCGAAATCCACGCCGAGCAGCAAGACATGGACCTGCAAGAAGAATGACACAAAAAGAAGACATCAGCACCGGAATTCGCGTTCCACACTCAGCGACGCTACAACAACAACAACCGGCAGCAACAACCGAAGCCAGTACCTCCGTTCTGCCACATCTGCAAAACTTCAGGACACCCGCGTACGCACTGCCCGAATCGTCAACAGCCAACTCCACAGCGGCAACTTCGACCTTCAAGTAGCCAAATCGCTTCAACACAAGCAAATCCCACGACCCAGATTCAAGCCTCAACGACTTCAACGGGACAACCTGCACAAGGAGCAAGAAACATCGTCAGCTGCATGGCAAAGCTGAGTGACTCCTGCATCACCGAGTCACCACCACACTACTCACCGGAAGAACAACTCGACGAAACCACACCCCGCCGCGAGTCACTTCAGCCGAACCCGACATACGCCGCCATCACCCAAAGCGAACCATCCGGAAGGGACACATGGTTCTTGGACAGTTGCTGCGGACAGCACATGTGCTCCTCGGGACGCTTCGTTCAACGAGAACACCGGCTTCAATGCGAAGTTGTCATTACAGTCGCCAACAATCAAAACCTGCGAACACGACGACAAGGCGTAGTTCAAGTTCAGTCAAGGGAAACAAACGTTATACTGCAGATGTCAAAAGTACTAATCGCGGAGGGACTCGGCTACAACTTACTGAGCGTCAGTCAGCTAATGGCGAAAGGGATTCACCTCGAAGCAGACACCACCACCCGAGAATTCAAGCTGTATCATGGGAGAGGGGGACTTTACATCGGCAAGGCGGTCCTCAAGAACAACGTCTTCGTTCTTGATTTCGTTCCTGATCTTGGCACCGCCGACAGCGACGCCATCGTTAACTTCACCAACTCGACACACCCTCCAGACCTTGATCCAGACTTCAGTCCAGAAGGCTTCTGGTATTCACACACCATCCCTGAAGCAGAAAGAACAAAGGCGTTAGCAACAATTCAAACAACATCGGCAGTAGCAGAGACAACATCGGCAGCAGCAGAGACAACATCGACAGCAGCAGAGACAACATGGGCAGCAGCAGAGACAACATCGGCAATAGCAGAGACAACATTGGCAGCAGCAGAGACAACATCGGCAGTAGCAGAACCATCAACTGCAGCAGCAGGAACGTCAACACCAATTGCTGGTCCTTCAACGACACCGCTCCTCATCCCAGACACACCACCGACACCCGCGCAACAACTACACCCAGCACCACGAGAAGTTCATCGTAGCGCCAACTTTACCACCAACTTCTACTCCAACTCCGATATGTACCGACGATCACCCGGACATCGCGCCGACAAAAGCACCTGGCACGCAAGGATGGGACACCCAAGCAACACAGTATTGAACAATACAATAAGAGCAGGAGTACTCGACAAGGACTCACTCCTACTGACCGACGGACGAGAACTTCAACGAGTACGAGGAACGTGCCTCACCTGCCCTGAAGGAGACTTACCACATCGACCGTTTGCGTCTCATCACAACCCGAGCGCACCCGGGTACGCACCACTCGAGAAGGTGTATAGCGACATCCTATACAATCGGGAACCAGGACAAGTAATATACAACTACACAATCACCTTCATCGACGCCGCCACCCGTTACGTCTGGCACCTAAACCTCCCTAGCCGCGACATGGCATTCGCAGCCTTCGTTGCCTGGCTACCAGTAGCAGAGAATCGGGCGTGAAACTAAAAAGCTTCCAGTTAGACGGAGGAGGCGAATACACCTCTCAGCGATTCAAGCAGTACCTGGCGGAAAGGGGAATCAAACGGCTCTTCTCCCTTCCCTACGCCCATCAGCTGCAAGGTGTAGCAGAAAGAATGAACAGGACCTTGCAGAATAGCATGCGCAAACTGTTACGTGGCATGCGGCTACCCAACCACCAGTGGCCTGCGGCAATGGACCACGCCGTCATGCTGCACAACTTGCTTTCGTCATCATCGCTTCCAAACAACGCATCACCGCATCTGCTATGGACAGGGAAACAGGGCAGCACAAAAATGTTACGAGTCTTCGGATGCATGGTACAGTACCGACCCCCAGCAGCACGAGCGGGCCGATTTTCTCAACGAGCACAGTGGGGACTACACCTGGGTATCGAAAAGAACTACAACGCGTGGAAAATCTTCGACGTCCACTCCAAGGAAACAGTAGCAGCACGTGATGTAATTTTCTACGAACGACTCACGCTTCAGACATACCTTGCCAACATGCAAGAAGATCAGGATCCCACAGGTGGTTTTCGCGGTGACCGAGCCTTTGCCTCAACAATGGACGAAGCTGACTGGGACGAGCAGAATGTGGACAACGCATCAAAAGAAGCCGGACCTCTTCCGTTCTGCTCCGTGGACATTCCCATGGACGAAGATAACCCTCGCAAAAGTGTCAATGCCGAAACCTTCTACTATTTCGCTAACAACGGTTACGTAACACCTGCGACAGTCAACACCAACGAAGCAGAACGCGTAGGACCCAACTTCATACCTGATCCAGAAACGGGAGATGAAGCAGCTTATCCCGAGGACGCAAGTCTTCCCCGTTACTCACAGAGTGGACTACAAATTCTCGGACTCGTCACCACAGTCCATGGCACCGCCATTCCTAAAGAGCCTGCGACAGTTCAACAGGCTCTGGGGGGGGAACATAAGGAAAAATGGCGCGAAGCCATGGACAAGGAGCTGAAGGCAATGGAGGAACGCAACACGTGGAAAGTGGTTCCTGTCGGCGTGACACGGAACAAGACAGTGCTCACCGGGAAGTGGGTCTTCCGTGTGAAGACAAAGGCTGATGGCACCATTGACAAATTTAAAGCTCGCTGGGTTGTACCACACCTCACTACGCATTCTCCTCGCAATCGCTGCCATGAAGAAGAAGAAGTTGCGACAAATTGACGTCGCGAACGCGTTTCTCTACGCACCTGTTGATGCAGAAATTTTCGTCGAGCTACCGCACGGCTCCCACAGAGAACCCAACCTAGTCTGCCAGCTACTCAAGTCACTCTACGACATCAAGCAGGCTCCGCGACTGTGGCAACAGTACCTGCACGCTCGCCTCATCCGCATTGGCTTCAAGCAACTACCGCACGATCAAGGCATGTACCGGCTCACAACAAACGACGACTACATCCTACTAATCGTCTACGTGGACGATCTCCTTTACATCGGCTCGAATGACGGCATCACTACCTGGTTCGAAGGGGAGCTGCAGCGAGATCTCACGCTCACAGTTTCATCTACCGTCACTCAATACCTCGGCCTCAACATCCGGGAAGAGGAGGACGCGATCTACCTCAGCGCCGAGAAATATGCCTACACCATCGACAAATGCTTTACGCTCACACCGACAGCCATCTCCACGCCATACCGCTACACGGCAGGGAACGACAAAGGCAGCTCCGCTCTACTCAAGCCCGCCGGCATACGAGACTACAAGAAGAAGCTGGGATGTCTTCTCTTCGCAGACGTCACCTGTCGCCCCGACCTCTCATACTCTGCAAGCCAGCTCGCCACCTACCTCAAGAAGCCTGAAGCAGAACATCTGGCAGAGCTCGACCTCGCTCTTCACTAATTCGTCAGCACCCCAACGATCGGCCTAACTTACTACAAGAACGCAACCACACCGACTAAGTTAATCGGCTACGTCGATCCTCATCACGCCGGCGACTCCGAAAATAGGCGCTCCCGCACCGGCTACATCTACCGCCTCGAACCTATCGGACCTATCTCTAGGCAGTCGAGCAAGAAGGAATTAATTGCTCTCTCGTCAGCTGAAGCAGAATGAAGCAGAATATATTGCACTCTGCTCAGCCACCAAGGAAGGACTCTATCTTCGCGAGCTGCTGGAAGAAGCGAAGTTAGCCGAGTTACCCAACTTTACCCTGTTCTGTAACAACCAGTCAGCAATTCGCATCGCCAACAAGAACGGCTTCGCGAACAGGATGAAACACATCGCCCTGCGATATTTCTTCGTGAAGGACGAGATCGAGAAGGGAAGGCTCGAGCTGTCATACTGTCCGACGTCTGAGATGGCAGCTGACTACCTGACCAAGAAGCTCGGAAAGCAGAAGTTCGAATACTGCATGTTGCTGACTGGACAGAGCCACGTCAGCGACACTCCAGAAGCGAAGGGGAGTGTTGGAAACAATCAGTCTTAAACGCCTCTGTCGTGTCGAAATACTAAGACACAAAAGAAACGAAGTATAACGAATCACCGGCGAGTCAACCCTCGGAGGTTGAAAGTAACTGTTGGAGGTTACGCGAAAGTCAAAGGTCAGCGACCTTTGACCTGACAAAGTACAGCGCGACAGCAAGGACAAACAACTGACTCGGTATTGAGCAGTTGCCCGAGTCGTCACTGTATCGAACCGCAACAGCAAAACGGTTATTAACTGTATCTCTTCGTATTCCTTGTACTCTTATAAAAGCTTGTATCTCTTTGTTTTAATCAACTTACTTTGCCCTCACATACTAGCGCAAGGTGGTTCACAACTCTTTAATTAACGCTTCCGCTATTACATCAACTCTACCCAGAGTTCACCCCTGCAAAGATCCTAAGGGGCTTTTTCAGCCCAACAACTTCAATCCAGGTTACACGTATAACATGCTGGTATTGGAGCGAATCTTGGTTGGGGTTTGGTGAGATGAAGTTACTCAGAAAAGAAGAAATGTAAGCAAACACAACCATAAGAAAAAGCACTTGGCGAACTACATAGAGGCAAGTGGTGGTACGGTAACCCTTTGCCCCAACTCACTCACTCTTGGAGTGTAGAGGTGACTGTTTATCATCGAAAAAAAAGGTCAGCCTACGCTATGTCCATCCATCCCTTTGTGTTTATCTTTAAGGTCGCACCAATGTATGGTAATGTTGGATCAGGCAGGCAGCAGGAGACAGGAAGGGACACATTCAGGAAAACATGTGTTGTAAATACATTGCCATATACAGTAAATCCCTAGTAGAACTCCAAGCAGTTTGAGCTGACCACAATTGACGGCAGTGCACCTAAATCCACTTCCGGTATCCCCCTTTCTTTCAGAAACCTTGCTTTGTTATGATAAGTCTTTTCAAAACCACCTCCCCAGTTCCCACCCACTTCCTTACTCAGCCCTTCAACCGCATCCAACCTATACAGCACACGCTCACTCGCATCCCACCCCTCAGGTCGCCGCAGGCTGTTGCATCCAGGGAGTAGTTTATCCAATATCTTCCGCCCATTCATTTGGTCTTCTTCACCCCCAGTTGCAGCCTCCACGAGCGTGCGTTCCTCCCCCCAGCGTCACACAACCTCCGGTTCCGAAGCCTTCTCCCCCATCGCCCCCTCTCAACCCACCATCAAGCAAATCAGCAACGTCGCTTGCAATGCTATCGACAAACAGCCCCTCCAACCCACACGGCCACACCACACCCGAGTGAAGCACAGACAGTGACACAGCACCCCAGCCTACAGCATGGAAGCAACGCAAACTCTGCCAAGCACTTAAATCTAGCGATCGCCCAACCGGAACATCCCTCCACTCAAGGGCCTTGACAGTCTCCACCACGCCCCGCGACAAGCGTGCAACTTTCTCGGGGTGCATGTTAGTGCAGAGCGAGACGAGTGAGGTGACGTGAGGCGCGGCGATCGCCCACGGGCAGGACCAATCGGTGCGCAGGAAGATCGGCGTCAGGTGGGCGGGGCAGGTGGGGAGCAGAAGCAGGCGGGAGCGGCGGGAATGCCAGTGGAAGTTTAGCGCGGAGAGGCGAGGCGCGACTGTGATATGGAGCAGTCGATTCTGACGAGTGCCACACAGGTAGCTTCCGGGAGGTGAAGAGAGAAGGAGTTTCGTCCTTCATTGCTTCCCACATGCTCTCCCTCGCGCTCGCTCCTCCACCTGTCCGCGTTTGCCGCACCAGCTTCAGCTCCCTCGTTGCCCTCCCGAGCAATAAACTGATTTGCTACGGCGGAAATGTAGAGATCGTGAAGCTGGGGGGCGAGGCAGGAGACGAAGCGGAAGACGAGGGGCGAGCAGGCGGAGAGGGAGAGGTGGAGGCGACGCAGTGCGGGGAACGACCGGTCCTTTTGTGACGACAACAACCTCTTGTCATTCTCCGAATGGTCTTCGGAATTCAACTCTTCCATGATTGATATTAGCTCCCACATCTCGCCCACCATTATTGCATCGTTGCAGCGGTGCCGTGCCAACTCGTTCTCATCGTCCGATGCAACGCCGTGCTCCAGAAGCAGCGACTCCAGGCGTGGCGCTTGCGAGAGGAAGTAGAGCAAGCGCGGAGGGGAGGGCTGGCTTCGAGAGAAGTAGAAATCGATGGAGGTGAGTGAAGAGAGGGTCGGAAACAGGGAGGATCGCATAAGGGAGCTAAAGAGGCGCGGAGGTGCACGAGAGAGTGAGAAAATGAATTGGGAAGGGCTTGCGTGCTGCTTGGTCAGCCATGCGAAGCTGCGGATTCATTGCGCGACGAAGACGGAGGAGGGCGGGCACTGGCATTGTTCGTCGAACACGAGCGGTGCGTCCGAGTCGCCCGCCGAAGATGAGAG